TTTTTTTCTTTCTTTTTTTTTTTTTTTTTTCCCCCTTTTCCTCTTTTTTCTCGTCTAATAAACGTTTCTCCCTTCACAGGAACAAATCGAAATTCTTTGTAAAAAAAACGAGAAATGACCAAACTTATATATACATATTTGAAGGATAAATGGGTAATCTACGAAACGAAAGTCAACGAACACTGCGAGGAAAAAATGGCAGATTACTGGCTGAAACAAAATTCTCTACACGGAACAATGAAACGAGCGAAAAAATTTGACGTACGGCTCGTTATAAATTTTTGTCCAAAATTTTAATTTTAAATATAAATTTCCCCCGATAATATCCCAAAATCTGTTAATCTCGTGCACACAAATATTATTACCGATAAATTAATCATGGAAAATACATTGCCGATTAAATCGTGCGTTAATCGCGTCGCCCCATCAATTCCCTGCTTTATCGTGCGAGGAAACGATCGTATTATTTAAATATCCGGGATCCGTCGTTTTATTTTATTTAATGGAAAAAAGAAATGGGAAAATTTTTCCTCGCAACAATGATATTTATTTCTACGAATCGAATAAAAGATCGAAAGTTCGTCCATCGTCGAACAATTTTTTAATGTATTTACGAACCACCCGATTATCGATTATCGTATTTTCGCATTTTTACGAGCAACGAGATATTCAAACAACTTTACGATAGAATCCTTCTATAATTATATACTTTTTGCACGTGTATAACGTATAGGAAATTTTTTTTTTTTTTTCAACAATTTGAGGAAGTACGGTCGATAGATCGATCGATTTTTTTTTTTCGTAAAATTCGTAAAATAAATTATATTTTACTGTATCATCCGTTCGACAGAGGGCGAAGGAAAAAATAAGAGAAACTTGGTGATTCTTCGCAACCTTGATATATATATATATATAAATATATATTTATATATTTATATATATATATATATATATTTTCTTTTTTTTCTGCTTCGCAGACAAAAACAATACATATATCGTACAATCGATGTTTTCTCGCGAAGATCTGTCTGTATAACATATAGTATAGACTTTCAACAAGTTGCATAATTATTACATATGTTGTGTCAATGTCATTCTTAAGCTCTACGTAGAGAGAGAGAAAATTGTCGAGTGAACACAATGCGACAACGGTCGTCGCACCTTTAGCACCTAAATTGAAGAAATTTTTTCTCATTTTTTTTTTATTTTTTTTTTTATTTATTTATTTATTTATTTATTTATTTTCCCCCAAGAAGAATTATACACGATCGAGGAAATACTCGCCAAGCTGTTTCGACGTCTAAAAAGTACCAAAAAATCGTATTATCCTACCGTCCCCGAATCCCTTATACAATCGTTTTATCCCGGTTAAAAATTGATAAAGATCTAAAATTCTGATTGAAAAATTTCGCGTCTTTCAACATCGTTTTTATTTCGTTTCTTTCCGTTAAAAAGCGATCTTTCCCCTCTCGAGAAACAGCATTGTATACGTATACGCATAATCTCATCTAAAGCTACGATATTTTTTTTTTTTCTTTTTTAATTTCTTGAACCCGATGGACAGGAGAGGAAGCCACTGCACAGTGTCTCTAGAATTTTTTTTTTTTTGCGTAAAATTCAAATTTCTCGTTCGTTTTCGAGATCGTCAGTTTCCGTCTCTCTTGCTCACATATCATCCTTCTTACTTACATACGATACGATACTCGAATATTCTATAACTAACGATCTCGAACTCGCGGAATGTTGATCTTTGTCGTCGACCAAATATGTCGAAAAAGAGTATGTCGATATTTTCCCTATTTTCTTTTTCTTTTTTTTTTTTTTTATCTTTTTTCTTTACTTTCGAGGAAATTAATTATTACGCATATACGCTAGAAGGACACTGGCGGCGACGCACGTGGCGATCAGCGACGTTGGCGGTAGAACGCTCGGTGTACCAGTGTTGCAAAAGTCTGTCAAACACGAGCAGACCTCTTGGCGGCCACCGAAACCGCTCCTCTGGTAACACTTCCCCTTGTAATTCGACTCGTCCCATCCGCAGCCTCTTATCACTCTCGTGTCGGGTGGAACTGTTAAAGAAAACACACGATTGGACGGTTCAATGCGCGGTTATTACTTTGTGCAATAATATCTCGAGTTGGCGCAGCCGTTACACGGTTATCGACGCGTACATTACGCGGTTGGTAAAATAGGCTTGGTTAAAAAATTAAATACGCTTGATTGGAACTTTTCTTTTCTTTTTTTTTTTTTTACTTCACGTCCATTAACGCTGAACTCGATGACTTGCGTGATCTTTCGACACATGGTGTATTTTGCGCCGTTCTTCAGATCGGAACAATCTTTTTTCAACGCGTCCGGTGGATTCTCGTCGGCGCATCGGCTGTCGTTGTGACTGTTGCAGAGATAACATTGCATCGCGTTTATACCTGGAGTCAGAGAGAGAAATTAAATTTTCATATTTTCGTGGAGGAAATTTATCGTTATTGTCGGATAGGGGATTTAATTGTATTAATATCCGTTATGTAACGTATGGATACATACTACGAAAACTGGAGAGATTACGAATAATGTTGTTGGAAAACGAGTGATGATAAGAGAGGTCACGGTGGAGAGAAAATAACGCGGCGAGATTTATCTCCATGGCGATGCGTACCAATATTCCGCGTTATATAGGTCATTATGTTTAGACAAAATTAATTATTGTTAAACATCGAATAAATATCGAATTACAGCTTTTAACGAAAAAAGTCAAAGAAAAGGGTATTTGAACAGAATATTAAATATTAAATATCGAAGCGAATTTATTTTTTAAAAGATCAAAAAAAAAAATTTTTTAAAAATGATTCTACGGTATTCCAGCAGAATAAGAAAAAGAAGAAGAAGGTTCATTGTACCTCTGACCGTAAGTCGTATAAAAATCAATGCAGCTACGTGCCCTAGAAATGCATATCCACAATAAGTTTACGCGGTTGTCTTCGCGCTTTTAATCTTATTTCTATCATTATTCTATCATCATTTTCAGAATATAAATAGCGACGATAAAAATAATTTAAAAAAATTTTTGGGTCGATATTAAAAATTTAAAAAAAAGGAAAAAAAATACGAAATAACAGTACGATTTCAATCTATGACATAAACAGATTTTTCAACTCGTATGAAAAATTTGATTTGCCCATTGCATAGAGTCGTCATTGATCTCCACCATTTTTGGTTGAATTAAAACGTTCGTCGATCAAATACATTTCACGTTCTGATCATTTAACCGCGCGATAGCTGCTCGATATTTCGATTTTTTTCCCCTTTCGCGTGTGTATATACGTGCGTACATCTATCCCGTCGTTATGGTTAAATCGGTCAAAACACTAAACACCGCGTTTAAACACAATGAGGAAGCAAGCCGATCCACTTTTCGAGCAGGGTGTATTATCACTTCATTGGCTAATATTACCGTTAATTGGGGAAAAAGGAGTAAAATTTAAATTTAACCAAGAAACTTGAATCAATCTACTTCTCTCGTAATAATAAGCATAATTTAATAATTGCGTCAATAGACGCGAAACGACGACGCGCCTCGGCCTCTTTTATCTCTTTTATCTCTTTTATCTCTTTTATCTATTTTATCTCTTTTATCCGCCTCACAGAGATGTCACAATTGCAATAACATTTTATTTATCCATTTATATATTTATTCGTATATTAGAAATTACGATGCATATTTCACCGATTATCGTACTATGGATCAAAAGAAAACACGAATTCACGAGAAAAATTTATCGTATCGTATTTCACAATCGTAATATTTCACGACGAAATACATAGAATTATTTGCGATCGAAGAACACGAATTTCAATTCACAACAATTTTATCAACCATATTTTCACACCATTTTACATATCATATTTTCAACAATTCTAATTCCAATTTAATATTTTACAAAATACTGTCACTGAAAAATGATGATATAAATTTAACATCCCTGCTAACGTTCCACCACCAGAACACGATTCACTGTTTATTTACCGGGCCACCATACCGATCCAATTGCCGAAAAACTAAAGTAGCCAGCACGAAAGCTAGCCAGCACACGAGGATCGATATAGAAGCGGACTCGCCCTCTTCCCCCCTGGATCGTTGAACCAAGAGTCCAACCCAAGAGTCGACGCTTACCGTAAAAACCGAGCACGACCAATAGGCAAACGATGAGGATGCCGATGCGTCTCATCTTTCCTCCCTGCGTTGTTAAATCCTTGCGTTGTCGAACCCACTTCCTTCCACCTTATAATTCCACCTTCCTCGACGGACCACGAGGCCGACGGATCGAGAGGGCGGTGGAGGAGAGGAGAACGAGCAGAGAGAGAAAGAGAGACAATGGGCGAAAGAGAGAAAGAGAGAGAAAACGCGGTCAGACGAAGGGGTTGACGAGGCCAACCATTCGGCCTCGACAGCTGGTGAAGCACTGGCCGTTTCCTCGCCGCGATTGCAGCGCAAGCCCGCGACTGGAAGGCGGCCACGACGATGCCTGCACCACCGGATACGAGCGGGATGGATTGAGAGGCGAGAGGAGAGGATGATCGAATCGAAGGACCAACAAACTGGAAATCGAGGAAAAGACTCTTCTCGATGGTTTTGCGCCTTTCGTTCATTTCAATAGGTTAATTGAAAGTTGGAGAGGGATCAATTTTGGGTGATATTTTTGAGTGGAGGATTTGATTGATTTCATTTTTCTTCGTTCAAGCTTTTCCAAGTTTTATATGGAATATTATATATGGGTTATGTGGATTATATGGGCAGTCGAGTTATGCAAATGTATCGAATGGATGAGTTTTTCGAGGTTATGTCTCGAGACACGAATTATCTGTTTTTATGTATTTTTTATATTCTTCTGGCTATCGATCTCTCGGAGTTTTATTTTCATCTCTCTTCTATGAAACTTCTTATGGTTAACCGTAAAAATTCTTATTTATCATTATTGTCGATAAAGTAGTCATATGTAAACGTAAAATCTGATCTATTAAAGTAAAACGATAAAATTAGTGATTCTCAATGTGTTAATATTAACGAAATATATTAGTTAATTAAAATCTGTAAATTTATTTTCATAAAATGTGTGTATTAAATATACGTACATTCGAGTCCGATATTAGTAAACTGATAGATAAGAAAGAAGCTAGTAAGATGATTACAATATTATCCATGTTTACAAACATTATTATACATAAATAGAATGATATCAAATTACATACATTGAAAAGTTTATTTTAAAAATCGAATTCGAAAATTCTCTCGAAAATTACGCCAATGCACTTGTACGATGTACTCGACCCACAATTTTGCAGGTCTGGGATTGATCGTTTTAGAATTGATTGCCTAATGCTTCCTGCCACCGTTTTCAATATACATATACGTGTCCACGATCTCTCCTGCTCCTGAGAAGTAGCCAAAAGCCTTGACTCGATGATTCGAACGTGAGTTTGATCGTGAAAATTTAGGATTGTTTCGATGGATAAAACAGGGCTGGACATTAAATAGGGAAGGCCGTGGGCGATATACGTAGAGCTTTATGTTCAAATGAACCGTAAAGTGGTGGTTTGGAACACGCTAAGTGGATAATATCCCTTTTCCTGTGACACACTGAACGTCATGAAATGTCATGGAAGCGTAGCGAGCAATGAGTTGCACGCGAACAATACGGAAAGGAACGTGAAGGATATCGTTCTACGTTGTTGTACCAGCTTCTGAATCATCGCTCTTGTGACCTAATTTTTTTCTTCAACTCGATAACAGGATCGACAAGACGAAATATGAAATATATATATATATAAATTTTTTTTGTTAATGAATTTTTTTACTTTGTTTGATTAGAGAGAAATGGAAAAAAATTTAATAATTAAAAATAAAAAAAAATATATCGACACGACACGGATTTGTTAAAAATTACAATTGAATTATGCCGTTTAACTTATTTAACACGATGAGTCCCTGACACTTTTGCGATGATTATATTCCGAGTGATAAGCATCCTGGGATTGTTTTCACATTAGAGATACAACGAACTGTTTTCTTTTTAATTAATTTTTTTAATATCTTTTTTCCAAATTATTTTCGGAATTCATGTAATAATAATTTAAAAAGAATTATTGTAAGACATGCGAAGTAATCGAGTAAACATAATATCGAAATAAGGCTAGGAATATTTTTATAGAGAGTAAATCTATTAAATCCAAGTATAGTATAATTCTATTATTAAAATAATATAAAATAATATTGTATCGTAATATATAATTGCATTTTTCAGGTAAACCGATGAGTATATAAATTGTATTATGTGAAGCGCACTGTGTAGATATAAGTGCAAGGAGAATCGTGATAACTTAATGAACGTGAAATTTTTACTTGGATAATTTAATTTTTTTTTAAAAATAATAATTATTCTATATTGAAAATATAGAATAAATTATGACGAATAATTGTTATTTATTATTTATTATTGTATCAAATATAATGAAAAAAAAATTTTAATTATTTTTATCACTATATAAATTCTTGAATCGCGAATTTTTGATGTGGTAACACTGTTTTAGAATGCAAGGACACAATTTTAGAAACAAATTATTTGTCACGTTACAAAAATGACTATTCATATATCGATTTCGTAGTGTTTATGTCCAAAAAATATCGAATAAATTTCTACGTCGAAATCGGTAAAAAATTGTTAAATTGAATTGTTTCTATTCTATCCTGATTGTTTTTCACTTTGTGTAATATTTGTTGCTAAATAGATTAATGGATAAAAAAAATCGTCTAGAGAATTTCAATACATGAATGAAATATATAGGAAATAAATTTTTCATATCGGTGAATTCATCAAGGTATGATTGTATAACCTCTCAAGTACCATTATTATTACATTTAATGATAAATATTTACTTTTTATTTTTCTTAGCTTTTTTTTCTCTCTTTCTATATATATTCCCTCTCTCTCACTCCCTCTCTCTCTCTATATATATGTATATATATATCGATAATTGAAGAGAAGATAACATTAAGATATATTCAATAAAAATTAATATCAAACTCTGAATAGAAAAGCAAGAAAAATTAAAAATGCGAGTGAATGTAAATGCATTACAAGTATTAATACTTTTATTTGTATTTCAAAGAGGTAAATTTAAAAAAAAGGTATTGTATTTATTAACTAGAGATAAAACAGAATATAACTTTATCAACTATAAATAAATTGAAGCGTATACTGGATGTTGATAAATGAAAACAAGAATTCGAAAATTAAATATATCATTTACAAATTATTGAGATTAAATTAGAGATATGATATGATTATTTAGCATACAAAAATGCATATGTATCGATTTATATTATTGAGACAAATTTCATATTTTTATATAAATTATCATTATATAAATCAAATTTTTATATAAATTTTGTTATATTCTGTTTTATAAATATCAATAAAAAACAACAATGAAGAAATATATAAAAATTGTTTATTCAAAATAAATTATATAACGTGATGTATTGTTTTTATATATTTGATGTTTATTGTTGATATACATAAGGAGAATCGAAAGCTATCAAATGTTATCAATGTAATAGTAAAAAGGATAAAGATTGTACTATCAATACGGTAGATATAAGATATTTGAAACCATGTCCTGCGTCACAACCATTTTGTCGTAAAGCTGTGTATATATGTAAGTTAACAAATTTTTTTCCCTTTTCAAATTTATCACAATATATTTAATAATAGAATTAATCAATTAATTACATTGATTAATTTTTAGATTATTTTATGAATTCTCGAGAATATATAATAATACGTGAATGCGCAAAGTGGTGGAACAATGACAAGGAATGTTATAGAGGTCGTTATCCACGTGATAGTTATCAATACGTATGCGAATGTAAGAGTACAGGATGTAATCGATCGACGAGATTCTCATTGAAAACTATTATTTTTTTGTATATTTTGTGTCAAATAATTATCTTTCTCGTTGGAAATCCTACCTGACACAAATGCATCATTGAAAATAGACTGGAGACATTTAATTGATTATCGTGATGACATTCCTTTATCAAGACATTCTTGCAATAATTTTACTTTACGAGTAGAGTATAAAAAAAAAGCGACACGCAGTTGTTGATACATTCACGATATAAATTTAATAAGTCCAAACTTATTGTTTGTATAATAAAATGTAATAGAAATAGAATGTATGTTATACATATGAAAAGATATGTAAAATGTATGTAAAAAAAAAAATATATATATAATATATATATATAGCGAGAGCACGAGGAAAGAATGTTATTTAAATTAAAAGGAAAAAGGGAAAGCGGCAATGTGATTTTTTGTCTGAATTTTATTATCTTCAACTCGTTTTTTTTGAAATTTCGTTTGTAAAACTATACTTGTTCATCAAAAATGATAAATTATTCGTGAAAACTGCAACTATCACTTATTCGAGTAAATTTTTATTTTCCTGAAATATTCCATCAATTTTTCACCGAACATGAAAGTAATAAAATCGTTTTTGGCGATCGGCCAATTCATATTACAATAAAAGAATACGAGCGAATAATATCTATTGTATGAAAACAGAGAGCAGTGAATTAATTCGGCGTTTATCTGTGAAAGTGGATTCCTCGATAGCCAAACAACTAATCGCTATTTTGAATCTGATCTAAAGTTCGCCGATAAAATTGCATATAATTGATACAATTATCTTCATGCAACTTCTAATCATGAGGTAAATATTGACGAGTTTCATCGTAGTTAATTGCTTGACAATCTGTAAAATTAACCACTGATTAACACATTTTGATCTCGTTATAAATAATTTTTCAAATAATTATTTACACACAGTTACTTACACATTTTTTTATTGATTCGAAAAATTGTTTGCAATTGGTTGCAAAGTCTCGTTCGTTTCGTTTCGATTTTGTCTGAAATGATAATATAAACAAATTGGCCGGTTATTCATATCAACAACGTACAACAAATTACAGTAACAATCGACTTTCCACCTACATTCTTATTATTATATCTGCTTGCTCGAATTTTTCCCAACGATGTTGGATACGTGGGTGTCGTAACTTGATTTATCAACACGAGAAAAGTTTCTTTCTCTCTCCCTTAATGGTCTTCCTTGAAATTTTTCTGAAAAACAGGAATATGTATATTTCTCGTTACGAAAGCAAGTTAAAATTTTTCTTTGTTTTTTATATACAGTAACTCACGAAACTATTCTTATTTTTTTTGTTCAATATTAATAAACAATTTTTTAATTCGAAAATTAATGTAATTTCTTTTTCACCGAGATGTTGTTATTTTAAGGATACGAAATCAATGAATTTTTTCTTTTCTTTTAAATATAACCTCTCAATTTTCATGAAAAAAAAAATGTCAAGAATGTATTGTTCTATTAATCTGTTATTAAAAAAAAGTTTTCGATATAAAAAAATAACTTGATTTCTTCGTTAAATGAATATTTAAATTCAGAATTTTCGAGTTAAATAAAGTTTCCTGTAAAATATTACTGAATAAATTTCAGTAAGCCATGTTATGTACTACTGTATATACGTACTATACGTACGCATCGATACACGCGTTGTGTAACCATAAGACAGGCGAGAATAATCTAAACGAGAACCATAGAAGGAACATGGCCGATCCAAAGGACTTGTAAAAATTTCCTCGAATAATAATGTATACACAGAGTCCAAGATTGAGGCAAATGTAGGTGGTGTACGGTCATTCTTCCTCGTCCTCCATCACTCGCAACAGCGTCTCCATCGACAGAAGCTTCGCCGACGGTATTATTACTATTTGGGTCGCGGCAATGTGGCGCCGAATGTCCTGACGCTCTAACACTTCTCACCAACCTATGCTTTCATTACTGCGCACCGAAGATTCCTCGTGGAATCTTACGAGTACAATTTTGTACGAATATATATATATATATATAAAATAGAATTTATTTTTAACCTAAAGTTTTCCAATTAGTTAAACTGTAGCCACTTAACTCACTTTGGGTTTTAATGCCATTGCATTGGATGTCACATTTCGAAAGTATGTCAAGTTCAACTTGGTGGATTAGCAATTAATTCTTTTTATTTACGAAAATTACCTTTATCTTAGCTTAAAAATATTTCTCTTCTTTTCAATTATATATATATTTTGATTTTGATATATATATGATATAAGATACGTCTATCGACTGTACAATTTTTTAGGTTATTTGAGAATATATTTTAAAAACTTGAGTGAAAATATTCTGAGCTAAATCTCATGGTAAACTGTTAAATTCAAAATTGAGCTAGACGGCGTCGTTTGTATGCTGGATAGGCGCCGCGACGTCTCCTCTTCTTATCTTTCTCTTTCTTTATTCCGTTTTCTTTTCTATAACTGATTTTACGAAAGAACGAAGTTTATGTGTATACTTCACCACACATACACATATACACACAGAACAAAATGACTGAGATCACGATTAATGATCCTGTCTAATGAAAATTTAGAATACGATCTCACTCGAACTGCGACTTTTATCGATCTATTTATTACTAAAAATACGAGAAACTTGGTGGAAAAATTTGAAAATGGATATCAGTTGAACGAAAAGAGGTCGTAAGGAAATGTAAATAGGTGAATAACATTTCGATGAAATTTTGTTGAAAAGCTGACTGAAACAGTATTAAACATGTATGCTTATAAATTATGCATAACCTATAAATAAAATTATAAGTGTAACGATTTTGCAATTCGAGCAATTGAGTTGAAATTTTTGCGAAATTCGAATGTTATTTTTATGTGTCGATAAAAAAATAATATATTTTCGTATAAAATTTCGTATAGATACTTTTACGATGACTCTTCAAATATTTTTTAACCTTATAAATATTGCTACTGTCAACGAATGCGTTTCTACTTTTTCTCCTATATTCACGAAGTACATTTCGTCGATAAGTTAGAAAAAAATATATTGATAAAATTAAAGTTTTAATCAGCGCCATCTCGCGTTTGGATCATGGAAGCTTCGACTTGTTAATAGGATAACAGAATATGCATGGAGGTATTCGTGACGTCACGACGTTCAGAGAAGGAGAGCAATACTGTGCGAGAAGGACAAAGAAGACGTGCCACTATTTTTGGTTATGTGGTTCCTAATACCCCCCACTATTCAAAATGTAACTGAAAATTTATGCACTTTTAAGCTCGAATCTTAAAGATAGAACCTCAAACAAATTTCTCGTATCAATTTTAACAATAAATTTCTTTTAATTAATTATTTATTAATAATTGATGCGTAATATAGAGATCAACGCCATTGATACGCAATACATTATTCATTAATTTATTATTATATTACTGTTATATAGAATTTATTTATAAATATAAATCTATGCATTTGAAAGCTTGTTTCTTCCTTTACTTTCACGAATAATTTTTATTCATAATTTCTTCGTTGTTCGAGAGAATAAATCGATCATTCGTTCACTCGATCTCGAAGTAAAGATTCGTCTATGAAACACTCTCTATGATAATCATTAATAAATCATTAATCGAGAAAAATTTCAGATTAAAATCGATACGTGAAACTTGTTTAAGGTTCTAACTTGAAGATTCAAGTCTAAAAATGCATAAATTTTTAGTAAAAAATTAGTTATTAATTAATTTTCAATATAACTTTTTCGAATGTAGTGGGAATATATTGGCGCCTTTTCTTGTACAGTGCTGCCCTCTTTCTCCGTGACGTCACAGATACCTCCATGCATATTCTGTTATCCTATTAACAAGTCGAAGCTTCCATGATCCAAACGCGAGATGGCGCCACAGATACGTAAAAAATTTTTTAATTTTCTTTCCTTGTCTAACTCATAAACAAAATTACCTTTACGTTCCTATATGTTCACGTACAAATTCCGTATATATTTTAAATATATTTTTAAATCTGTATACGTCGTATATATATATTTTATTTATTTTTTTCATTACATAAGTACATTATATAGTATAAATACTTTATTTATATTATTTATATTTTTACATATCGAATATACATTTCATCATAAATTTTACATGTGATATATGACAGTTTAAAGGAACAAATACAAAAAACAAAATTTTTCACACGCCACTTTTTCCGGGATCATAATCCCTTGATGACAAAATCGAAATTTCTACAGAAGAATATATCCATGGCACAAATAATTTTTCTTTTTAAATAAATCAAGAAGAAAACGTTCGTGCATTCGATATTTGTCGATCAGAGCCGCGTGTAATAAAAGAAAAAAAGAGTTGCGTCTTCCTTTCCGTTTAAGTAAATAATTCGATACGTTCTGTCGTTTGAAAAAAATATTTATCAAACCACTCCCTTGTCGCGAAACCGTCTCGATAATCGTCCCATCGAAAGGGAAATCGACGAAAGGTGCGCCTCTCTGTAAATAATTCGATCTTTCAGTTTAAAACAGTTTACACGGTTTGCGGTTATCTTATTACCTTCGAGAAAAAGCGTGTGAGCAGCAGCGCCCTCTAAGATTGTTATTTACGCGTCTCTCGTGTCGCAAAAATATGGCTGGTGCATCGTCGTTAAATTTTAATTAGGCTAATAGACAATTAACGTTTCTCAATGTGTTCCACACACTTCTTCCTTCCATTTCTTTTTTTTTTTTTCCTTCTTTTTTTGTCACTCGAAGCTGCTGCTTCGAAAATTTATTCTCGATCCCCTCCCCCCTTCCAATGGCTCCTTATTTTCGAGCCACGAGAAATCGTTGGAATTCTTGCCAAACTTGGATCTTCTGAATCGCATTTTCCACGCGAATTGTCTCGCGCACAATGTCTTAATCCAATCATTATTACACGAGCGTTTAAGTGACACTTTGAAAGAGCTGATTAAAGATGTGATTAGATGTGTTAATACGTGATATTTATCCATTCGATGAGACGGATAGAACGGATAATGTACAAGTATTGCAACAGGTGCATATAGATCTTGCTCTATCTTTTTTTCTTTCCTTAAAATTCACGCCGATTTTCAAACATATCGGTTATATAGATTAAATTTAAAACGAGTAACTTCTCTTGTCGTGTATTTAAAATAAAAAATGTATTCTACTATAAAAAATTTATTAAGGAATTACCTAATCTTCTTCGAGAGGTAAGACGTTTTTAATTATGTCGAGTGCACAATCGATCATATATTGAAGTATTAATGTGTTTTTAAAATTCAAAGTTAAAATAATTCTGAAAAATTCTTCACGATTGTTGCAATCGATCTATATCGATCCTCTTCGAAAAAATTCGATCGATCCATCTAAATTATTATTTAAAAAAAAATTTCTCGATCCTTTTTATATACACATATCGAACGATTATTAATCGTCGTAAATCCATCAAAACGATTATTTAAAAAAATTATTTCGAAAATTAAAAAATATCCTAATCGACCGATCCGATATCGAACGTGTAGTTAATGTCAAATACACACCGATCGTTAAAAGTTCGAAAATTTTTTTTTAAAAAATTCATGAATTCGATGAAAATTTTTTACGAGACGATCTGGAAAAACAAATTTAGAAAAAAAAAGGGGGAGGAAAAAGAAGAAAAGCTAAGTGGCTTGCGCGATTAAGCAATCTCTATGGAGAGGAGTGGCAAAATGGAGAAGAGAGAGAGAAAAAGAGAGAGAGAGAGAGAGAGAAGGTGGCGAGTGGCGTGGTGAGTGGCGAAGCTCGCAATCTCATACTCGCGATCAGGCTGTCGACTCGACGACAACCCTTCCTCGTGCCCAGTGCTTCACCTTCCGCCACGAATCGCAGTTTGGATTCTGCTTTCAAACGGTAAACTCGTTCCACAGGATAAAAAAGTACGACCACTTCCGTAATGAATCGAAGGATCGCGGTGCTAATCGTCAGCCTTGCCCTCGTGTTGGCGGTTCGTTCAGGTATGCGTTCTTGATCCCTTCATTAATTTATTACGAATTATTCTTCTGATGATCCAATTTGTCGATGCTAGATACACTTATATTTATATTGTATAATTGTTCTAGTAATAGTATAGAAACAATTGTAGAAATTTTGAATTTATTTGGATTAAAACGATTAATTCGAGGGATTGTTATTATTATTATTGTTGTTATCATTAAGGAAATATTATTTTTGTAATATACGTATGATTTAATTAAAAAAATTACATTTATTATTTTAACAAAATGAATCGAAGCATCATGAACGTACATATGCAACATAATTACGTTATATTATTTAATATTTCGATGCACGATGGTCAATAATCTTCTTTTCCAATATTTTTGTTAAATGCTCGTTTGAATTTATTTCTATCATTATCAACGAAACATTTATCTTTATAACATTCAACGTCAAATATTTAATTTTTATTATTTTATCCAACAACTATAATCAAAGCCTCGATATAATAATAACCAAACATCAAAGTATAATACGTATTAAACACGTATTATTAATTTTAACTTCAATTCGTTAACTTTTTGATCCATTTTTAAATTTAGAATATTCGTGTGATTATCGATTTCTTTCTTTTTTTTTCTTTTTTTCTTTTACAAGAATAAAACGTGAACGGTCGAACGAATTATTTTTCATCACGAAAAATAACTTGAAAATTGTGGAAGGGTTGTAGGTTAATCGTGGTTTATCGAACTACGAGTTGCAATTTACGACGGGAGAGGGGAGGGTAAGTAACGTCGCGATTCTTGGCGCCACGATACTCCGCGACCCAAATAATAACTACACACGGAACATGCGTGTGCTTGGAAGAGGGAGAGAGAAAGATAGAAACAGAGAGAGAGAGAGAGAGAGAGAGAGAGAGAGAGAGAGAGATATACAAGAATAC